TAACAATGTAAGAGGGTATAACAGGGTATAACAATGTAAGAGGGTATAACAGGGTATAACAATGGAAGAGGGTATAACAATGTAAGAGGGTATGACAGGGTTTAACAATGTAAGAGGGTATAACAATGTAACAGGGTATAACAGGGATTAACAATGTAAGAGGGTATAACAGGGTATAACAATGTAAGAGGGTATAACAATGTAAGAGGGTATGACAGGGTATAACAATGTAAGAGGGTATAACAATGTAAGAGGGTATAACAATGTAAGAGGGTATGACAGGGTATAACAATGTAAGAGGGTATAACAGGGTATAACAATGTAAGAGGGTATAACAGGGTATAACAATGTAAGAGGGTATAACAGGGTATAACAATGTAAGAGGGTATAACAGGGTATAACAATGGAAGAGGGTATAACAGGGTATAACAATGTAAGAGGGTATAACAATGTAAGAGGGTATGACAGGGTTTAACAATGTAAGAGGGTATAACAGGGTATAACAATGTAAGAGGGTATAACAGGGTATAACAATGTAAGAGGGTATAACAGGGTATAACAATGTAAGAGGGTATAACAATGTAAGAGGGTATAACAGTGTAAGAGGGTATGACAGGGTATAACAATGGAAGAGGGTATAACAGGGTATAACAATGTAAGAGGGTATAACAATGTAAGAGGGTATAACAATGTAAGAGGGTATAACAATGTAAGAGGGTATAACAGGGTATAACAATGGAAGAGGGTATAACAATGTAACAGGGTATGACAGGGTTTAACAATGTAAGAGGGTATAACAATGTAAGAGGGTATGACAGGGTTTAACAATGTAAGAGGGTATAACAATGTAAGAGGGTATAACAATGTAAGATGGTATAACAGGGTATAACAATGTAAGAGGGTATAACAATGTAAGAGGGTATAACAGGGATTAACAATGTAAGAGGGTATAACAGGGTATAACAGTGTAAGAGGGTATGACAGGGTATAACAATGTAAGAGGGTATAACAGGGTATAACAATGTAAGAGGGTATAACAATGTAAGATGGTATAACAGGGTATAACAATGGAAGAGGGTATAACAATGTAAGAGGGTATAACAGGGTATAACAATGGAAGAGGGTATAACAATGTAAGAGGGTATAACAGGGTATAACAATGGAAGAGGGTATAACAATGTAACAGGGTATGACAGGGTTTAACAATGTAAGAGGGTATAACAATGTAAGATGGTATAACAGGGTATAACAATGGAAGAGGGTATAACAATGTAAGAGGGTATAACAGGGTATAACAATGGAAGAGGGTATAACAGGGTATAACAATGTAAGAGGGTATAACAATGTAAGAGGGTATAACAGGGTATAACAATGTAAGAGGGTATAACAGGGTATAACAGTGTAAGAGGGTATAACAATGTAAGAGGGTATAACAGGGTATAACAATGGAAGAGGGTATAACAATGTAAGAGGGTATAACAATGTAAGAGGATATAACAGGGTATAACAATGTAAGAGGGTATAACAATACCCAATCCAATCAAAGAAGAGCACAATCTATATAACGTGCAAGCATGGCAATCCATTCCTTTTTATTTGGCTGCCACATCCAACCAGATAACTGGTTAACTAAAATTCTACTACAGAAAGAATCCCAATGGATGTTTGCATT